TCAGTGTCACCTTGCAGCATCTTCTTCCTCGTTCTGTACACCGTCAACTTCGCCTGAGCACAGGCGAAGTTGGCGAGGTCATGGCGCTTGTTAGCCAGGTAAGGCACCACCCCCCCATATACGAAGCTGCTGTTGTAGAATGGCACCCCCAGTTTCCTGAAGATGCCCCCCAAAAGGCGGAACATTGGTTTGAGCCGCTGGCAGTGTGAGTACTGGTGGGGCAGATCCTCCCTGGCACCGCAGGAAATGCACCAAGTCTGTTACCTCTGGCGAGATTCGGCTGATGGCAACGTGCAGTGTGCCAACCTCCACTGGAGGTCACCGCAGCGTTTGGCTACGGGAGACTAAAATTTTTATTTAAAGCTTTCGTGACTGCAGGGATTCATAAAATATATTTTAAAAAAATATTGTTGTGGTTTTCACACCTGATGATGATTGCTTGTGTTGCAGTCGAAACGTCGTGATAATTTTATTGTTTTATATTTATATATTTTTAATTGTTTCCCTTCTACGTGACTTTACCGAAAGAACCAAGAATACGGGAGACATTTTACATTTGTTTCCACTGAGGGGCGGCCGCAATGAGGGGAGAGAAATTGTCTCTCTATTTTGTCTGGTAGGTCGGCCAGGTCCTGGGAATGCATCGCCTTGACACAGCACGTGTAGAGCGCTGTGTTTGGGGCACTCTTCAGGGCCACGTTCCTGCAGCCTCGGAGCTTCAGTAGCTTGCCGGAGTCGCTGTGGCCAGGGGGCTGCGCGCAGGAGAAGCACAACTCCGGGAAAGAGGAGGAGGGGGGTGGAGGGCCGCCACCATCCCCCGGTGTCTCCAGCTTCAGGCGCAGCTCCTTCATGGCACGGAGCGACGTCCCGCAGCAGCTTCTCCCCAGCGAGCGTGGAGCGGCGCCCTGCGGTGTTGGCGATCTCAGTTGCGGCCTTCCACTTGGGCTGGTGGGCCTGCACGAGGTGGAAGACTGTCCGCAGCCCTGCCGATGTGAGGCGTTGAGCCAGGGTCCTCTCTCCTCTGATCCCCTGGAAGAGGCCGTTACAGAACAAGGGGCTCGTTCAGGAACTGCGCGAGGTCGTAGGGCGCGCGCGTTCCACTCCACTCGAAGCTCCGCCACGCGTCCAAGAGGCTCTGGTGATAACCTGGCAGCCTCGTGTAGTCGACCAGGCTCGGGTCCGTCAGGAAGAGCTCCTTTCTGTACCCCAGGCACCCCCCCGCATTCCTCAGCAGGGCGAGGGCCGGCGACTTCCAGGGTAGCTCCTCCCGGTTGTACAGCGGCCGCCTGACTGTCATGAGCCTGAAACTCACGACCCTGGCGGCGACGTCCACCAGACCCTGGCCGCCCTCGGCCACCGGCAGGCAGAGAACGCCCGGCCTGAGCCGGTGCTTCCCGTGCCAGACGAAGTGCGCGAGTGAGCGGTCGACTCTGGTGAGTAGCCAAGCAGGAGGCTGGAGGGCCTTGGTCTTGTGCCACAGTACGGATGCTACCAGGGTGTTAGCGACGAGCACGCGGCCCCTGAATGACATCTGCGGAGCGAGGCGTGGCGCCCATGTCAGTAATTTAGCCTCGATTGTGTCGGCCAGCTGGGTCCGGTTGTTCAGAGCGACATCACGTGGTTTCCCCAGGTAAACCCCCAGGTACTTGACTCCGTCGTCCCGCCAAACGACTCCTCCTGGGAGGAGCACAGAGCGAACGCCGCCTTGTGACCCCAAACACACAGAGGGGGCCTCGCACTTGGGCCAGTTGACCCTGGCTGAGGAGGCCCTCTCGTACGCTGCAAGCGCCTGGCAGAGCACGGAGGCGTCACGTGACGCGTCGTTGAGGATGACGCATCACGACGTCATCGTCTGCGTAAGCCGAGAGCTTGATGACCGCGTTCTCAGGTCCCGGGACTTTGAGGCCAGACAGATTTCGTCTCAGGTGGCGTAGCAGTGGCTCAATGGACAGGGTGTACAGCAGCCCCGAGAGGGGGCATCCCTGTCTGACCCCCCTCGTCACAGGGAAAGGGGCGCCGAGCCGCTGGTTTATCTTCGTGAGGCTGGATGTGCCCACGTGTACAGGAGCCTCACGTGCGAGATGAAGGCCTAGCCGAGGCCGAGCGACGTTAGGAGTTTGTCCACGCTACTCGTGGCTCACCCTGTCAAAGGCCTTCTCGTGATCCAAGAAGAGGAGGCCCAAGTCCACGTTGTGCGCTTCTGCAAGGGAGATCACGTCTCTGACCGTACCGATGTTGTCGTATATGCACCGTCCGGGGATGCAATACGACTGTTCTGGCAGGATCAGCTGACCCAGCACCGTCTTGAGACGGTTTTCCAGCACCTTGGAGAAGATTTTGTAGTCGGCGCACAAAGAGGGACGCGGGTCGCCAGTTCACGAGGAGGCGCAGGTCTCCCTTCTTGGGTAGCAGGGAGACCACGGCTCTCCTGCAGCTCTGTGGGAGTTCACCCTTCTGCAGGCCTCTCCGTCAACAATTCGAGTAGTGGAGGGCCAAGCTCATCCCAGAAGGCCGCATAACACTCAACCGGCAGGCCGTCAATCCCCGGGGCTTTACCAGCTGCGAGCCCTTTCACGGCGGTGTGGAGCTCCTGCTGCAGGGTGACGGGGCTGTCCAGACGATCCCGCTCGGGGGCCCCTAAGGTAGGGCCCCCCGTCCAGTAGCTCCCGGACAGCCCCGTCGTGTACGGTTTCGGCGGCGAAAAGTTGCGAGTAGAAATCCCCGGCGGTCTTGGCGATCTCGCTCTCGGATGTGGCTGTTTGTCCATCTGGGGTTCGCAAACTGAAATTTGTTGTGGTGTTGGCCGGTGCTTTGTTTAAGCGGAAGAAAAACTCAGAGGAAGAGTCCATCTGCGACAGGTTCTGCATCTCTTTGCACACAAAAGCACGATGTGCCTGCTCGTCCGTGATGGGCCTGAAAAGCCGCTGCTTCTGCAGTAGCGTCTCACCCTGCCGTGTGCCGTGGGGTGAGCTCAGCTCTGCCTCTAGCACCAGCAGCTCGTTCTGCGGTTGGCGCGCCGCCTCGTTCTTGGCGGCAGGCGTGCTGGCTCGTGAACTGCTGACAGAGAACCCTGACATGCGCCTTTGTGTTATTCCCACCATAGCTGGTGGGAGCTGAAGCTTCCTTTGGCAGGCAGCCACTGAGCCCAAAAGGCTTTTGAAGGTTTCTCTGAAGTCGGTGTCATCAAGCAGCTGCACGTTGAGTCTCCAGTAGGCGCTGTGCTGGGAATTTCGCAGCAGCACGGAGACCAGGTGGTGATCGGAAAAAAAACCGGAGGGTGCGATTTTACTGTCCCCGAGCGGGTTAACGCCGCCGGCGTTGACGCGCAGTCGGTCGAGCCTGGCAAGGCTCCTCCTGCCTTGAGGGCCGCAGCGGTACCAGGAGTACTGCCGCTGGGCTGGATGCTGCGGCCGCCACACGTCACGCAGATCCAGTCTCCGCACGTGGTCGGCTAGCGACCGTGCGGATTCAGGGCGACGTTCGGTCGAGAGCCGGGTCGAGGGTGCAGTTAAAGTCTCCCCCCCCCGCCTCCCCCCCCCCCCCCCACGACGGTGAGCAACGTCGTCCGAGTCGTCTGTCGTGAGCGCGTTCCCGCAGCGCGCCGAAGAAGAGCTTCCTCTCGGGGGGGAGGGGGGGCCTTGCTCGTTATAGCACCCGGGGCAGGGTTTATTCAGGACGAATTCGACAGGAATCAAGTGACCTTTGGCGATTTCTTTGAAGGAGACGTTCTCCGGTGCAAACCGCGAACTGAGCACAATCGCCACGCCGGCGAGTTTGTCCTCGGCATGGCTGAGAGTCACATCAGCTTCGTGTTCCCTGACAAAGCGGCAGATAGGGTCCCACCTCTTGTCACTGCGAGCGCTGTTACAGTTCAGACGAGCAATCCTTAATAGCTGAAGCCATGATGTAGTTGTGTGGTGGTGGTGTTAACAGTAGTTTGCGGGGGGCTGGGTCACTTCTGGGCAGAAGTAAGCTCCTTCTTTGCCTTGCGCACGAACGCTTTCAGGCGGTGGCATTCCTGAGTTGCAGAAACCCAGCCTCTCGCTGTTGCGGAAAATTTGTTGGGACGCTTTGAGGAAAGCGGTGAGGTCAGTTTGAAACGGCCCCGACCGTAACTTGACGCTTCCTGAAAGTTTTGCCGAGGAAGCAGAGGCAGAGAGAGACAGAGAGAGAGATAGGCAGGGAGAGAGAGAGAGAGATAGGCAGGGGGAGAGAGAGAGAGATAGGCAAAGAGAGCGATTACCATTGCAGCAACCGATGTGTATGATGATATTTTTTGGTCGCCAGTCGGAATTTCCCTTCGGGCTCAGTTGTCTCTGACTCGGCCGTTGTGAACCCCCAGAGAGAGAGAGAGACACCCAGACCCAGGACCCCCGCGTCAAACATCACCGAGACCCAAGAGCCTCTTGATTTGCAAGAGGCTCCTGGCCCATTTGGACGAGTTGGCCAACTCCGACGGCGTTGCGCGCGTGGGTTTAGCTGTGGGAGGAGGGACAATCGCACGACTCGGAGGAGCAGGGGGAGAGTAAGGACGCTCGCCCTGCAGTGCAGCTTGGAGAGCAAAGCAGCTGCGCCCGAGGGGGCAGCCGAGGAGGGGAATCGAACCCAGGCTGCCCGTGCCGCGTGTTGCGCAACGCGGAGTGGCTGCACTGCGCTGAGCACCGATGCCACCTCTGCCCCCCCCCCCCTCCATCTTAAACCCCATCACCATCCACACCACCTTCCCCCCCATCTACCCCCTCCACCTTCCCCCCCTCCACCTTCCCCCCCATCTATCCCCCCCATCTCCCTCCCCCCCTCCACCTTCCCCCCTATCTACCCCTCCACCTTCCCCCCCACCTCCCCCCCCACCTTCCCCCCTCCCCAACCTCCTCTCCACCTCCCCCTCCACCTTCCCCCCCTCCCCAACCTCCCCTCCACCCCCCCCCCCAACCTCCCCTCCACACCCTCCACCTTCCGCCCCCCCACCTCCCCCCCACCTCCCCTCCACCTGCTCCCAGACGTGAGATTGAACCTGGGCCTGGAGCCGTTCCCAGCGCTCGCCTGGGACTTCGCGAACCCCGGCGCTGGCCCTCAGCCCTTCCTCACCTTCGGCCCCGCACCCTTCAACCCCGCGCCCTTCAACCCCGCGCCCTACAACCCCGCGCCCTTCAACCCCGCGCCCTACAACCTCCCGCCCGACCTCCCGGAGCGGCAGCCACCGCAGGGGGGCGAGGAGGAGGAGGACGAGGGCGGCGCCGGCGGAGGTGTCGGTGAGTTCAGTCGTGCACGGTCTACCCACTGCTGAACGTGTGTTTATCTGGGAGCCTTGGGTCTGTGCGTGAGTCTGTGGGTCTCTGTGACTCTGGGTCTCTACTGTGTGAGTCCATGGATATCTGTGTGAGTCTGTGGGTCTCTGTATGAGTCTGTGGGTCTCTGTGACTCTGGGTCTCTACTATCTGAGTCCATGGATATCTGTGTGAGTCTGTGGGTCTCTGTGTGAGTCTGTGTGTCTCTGTGACTCTGGGTCTCTACTGTGTGAGTCCATGGATATCTGTGTGAGTCTGTGGGTCTCTGTGTGAGTCTGTGGGTCTCTGTGACTCTGGGTCTCTACTGTGTGAGTCCATGGATATCTGTGTGAGTCTGTGGGTCTCTGTGTGAGTCTGTGTGTCTCTGTGACTCTGGGTCTCTACTGTGTGAGTCCATGGATATCTGTGTGAGTCTGTGGGTGTCTGTGTGAGTCTGTGGGCCTCTGTGTGAGTTTGTGGGTCTGTGCGTGAGTCTGTGGGTCTCTGTGACTCTGGGTCTCTACTGTGTGAGTCCATGGATATCTGTGTGAGTCTGTGGGTCTCTGTGTGAGTCTGTGGGTCTCTGTGACTCTGGGTCTCTACTGTGTGAGTCCATGGATATCTGTGCGAGTCTGTGGGTCTCTGTGTGAGTCTGTGTGTCTCTGTGACTCTGGGTCTCTACTGTGTGAGTCCATGGATATCTGTGTGAGTCTGTGGATCTCTGTGTGAGTCTGTGGTTCTCTGTGACTCTGGATCTCTACTGTGTGAGTCCATGGATATCTGTGTGAGTCTGTGGGTCTGTGCGTGAGTCTGTGGGTCTCTGTGACTCTGAGTCTCTACTGTGTGAGTCCATGGATATCTGTGCGAGTCTGTGGGTCTGTGCGTGAGTCTGTGGGTCTCTGTGACTCTGGGTCTCTACTGTTTGAGTCCATGGATGTATGTGCGAGTCTGTGGGTCTCTGTGTGAGTCTGTGTGTCTCTGTGACTCTGGGTCTCTGCTGTGTGAGTCCATGGATATCTGTGTGAGTCTGTGGGTCTCTGTGTGAGTCTGTGGGTGTCTGTGTGAGTCTGTGTGTCTCTGTTACTCTGGGTCTCTACTGTGTGAGTCCATGGATATCTGTGTGAGTCTGTGGGTGTCTGTGTGAGTCTGTGGGTCTCTGTGACTCTGGGTCTCTACTGTGTGAGTCCATGGATATCTGTGCGAGTCTGTGGGTCTCTGTGTGAGTCTGTGGGTCTCTGTGACTCTGGGTCTCTGCTGTGTGAGTCCATGGATATCTGTGTGAGTCTGTGGGTCTCTGTGTGAGTCTGTGGGTCTGTGCGTGAGTCTGTGGGTCTCTGTGACTCTGGGTCTCTACTGTGTGAGTCCATGGATATCTGTGTGAGTCTGTGGGTCTCTGTATGAGTCTGTGGGTCTCTGTGACTCTGGGTCTCTACTATCTGAGTCCATGGATATCTGTGTGAGTCTGTGGGTCTCTGTGTGAGTCTGTGTGTCTCTGTGACTCTGGGTCTCTACTGTGTGAGTCCATGGATATCTGTGTGAGTCTGTGGGTCTCTGTGTGAGTCTGTGGGTCTCTGTGACTCTGGGTCTCTACTGTGTGAGTCCATGGATATCTGTGTGAGTCTGTGGGTCTCTGTGTGAGTCTGTGTGTCTCTGTGACTCTGGGTCTCTACTGTGTGAGTCCATGGATATCTGTGTGAGTCTGTGGGTGTCTGTGTGAGTCTGTGGGCCTCTGTGTGAGTTTGTGGGTCTGTGCGTGAGTCTGTGGGTCTCTGTGACTCTGGGTCTCTACTGTGTGAGTCCATGGATATCTGTGTGAGTCTGTGGGTCTCTGTGTGAGTCTGTGGGTCTCTGTGACTCTGGGTCTCTACTGTGTGAGTCCATGGATATCTGTGCGAGTCTGTGGGTCTCTGTGTGAGTCTGTGTGTCTCTGTGACTCTGGGTCTCTACTGTGTGAGTCCATGGATATCTGTGTGAGTCTGTGGATCTCTGTGTGAGTCTGTGGTTCTCTGTGACTCTGGATCTCTACTGTGTGAGTCCATGGATATCTGTGTGAGTCTGTGGGTCTGTGCGTGAGTCTGTGGGTCTCTGTGACTCTGAGTCTCTACTGTGTGAGTCCATGGATATCTGTGCGAGTCTGTGGGTCTGTGCGTGAGTCTGTGGGTCTCTGTGACTCTGGGTCTCTACTGTTTGAGTCCATGGATGTATGTGCGAGTCTGTGGGTCTCTGTGTGAGTCTGTGTGTCTCTGTGACTCTGGGTCTCTGCTGTGTGAGTCCATGGATATCTGTGTGAGTCTGTGGGTCTCTGTGTGAGTCTGTGGGTGTCTGTGTGAGTCTGTGTGTCTCTGTTACTCTGGGTCTCTACTGTGTGAGTCCATGGATATCTGTGTGAGTCTGTGGGTGTCTGTGTGAGTCTGTGGGTCTCTGTGACTCTGGGTCTCTACTGTGTGAGTCCATGGATATCTGTGCGAGTCTGTGGGTCTCTGTGTGAGTCTGTGGGTCTCTGTGACTCTGGGTCTCTGCTGTGTGAGTCCATGGATATCTGTGTGAGTCTGTGGGTCTCTGTGTGAGTCTGTGGGTCTCTGTGTGAGTCTGTGTGTCTCTGTGACTCTGGGTCTCTACTGTGTGAGTCCATGGATATCTGTGTGAGTCTGTGGGTGTCTGTGTGAGTCTGTGGGTCTCTGTGACTCTGGGTCTCTACTGTGTGAGTCCATGGATATCTGTGCGAGTCTGTGGGTCTCTGTGTGAGTCTGTGGGTCTCTGTGACTCTGGATTTCTACTGTGTGAGTCCGTGGATATCTGTGTGAGTCTGTGGGTCTCTGTGTGAGTCTGTGGGTCTCTGTGTGAGTCTGTGGGTCTCTGTGACTCTGGGTCTCTACTGTGTGAGTCCATGGATATCTGTGTGAGTCTGTGGGTCTCTGTGTGAGTCTGTGGGTGTCTGTGTGAGTCTGTGTGTCTCTGTGAATCTGGGTCTCTACTGTGTGAGTCCATGGATATCTGTGTGAGTCTGTGGGTCTCTGTGACTCTGGGTCTCTACTGTGTGAGTCCATGGATATCTGTGTGAGTCTGTGGGTCTCTGTGTGAGTCTGTGGGTCTCTGTGACTCTGGGTCTCTACTGTGTGAGTCCATGGATATCTGTGCGAGTCTGTGGGTCTCTGTGTGAGTCTGTGTGTCTCTGTGACTCTGGGTCTCTACTGTGTGAGTCCATGGATATCTGTGTGAGTCTGTGGGTCTCTGTGTGAGTCTGTGTGTCTCTGTGACTCTGGATCTCTACTGTATGAGTCAATGGATATCTGTGTGAGTCTGTGGGTCTCTGTGTGATTCTGTGGGTCTCTGTGTGAGTCTGTGGGTCTCTGTGACTCTGGGTCTCTACTGTGTGAGTCCATGGATATCTGTGTGAGTCTGTGGTCTCTGTGTGAGTCTGTGTGTCTCTGTGACCCTGGGTCTCTACTGTGTGAGTCCATGGATATCTGTGTGAGTCTGTGGGTCTCTGTGTGAGTCTGTGGGTCTCTGTGACTCTGGGTCTCTACTGTGTGAGTCCATGGATATCTGTGTGAGTCTGTGGGTCTCTGTGTGAGTCTGTGTGTCTCTGTGACTCTGGATCTCTACTGTGTGAGTCCATGGATATCTGTGTGAGTCTGTGGGTCTCTGTGTGAGTCTGTGGGTCTCTGTGACTCTGGGTCTCTACTGTGTGAGTCCATGGATATCTGTGTGAGTCTGTGGGTCTCTGTGTGAGTCTGTGTGTCTCTGTGACTCTGGGTCTCTACTGTGTGAGTCCATGGATATCTGTGTGAGTCTGTGGGTGTCTGTGTGAGTCTGTGGGTCTCTGTGTGAGTCTGTGGGTCTGTGCGTGAGTCTGTGGGTCTCTGTGACTCTGGGTCTCTACTGTGTGAGTCCATGGATATCTGTGTGAGTCTGTGGGTCTCTGTGTGAGTCTGTGTGTCTCTGTGACTCTGGGTCTCTACTGTGTGAGTCCATGGATATCTGTGTGAGTCTGTGGGTCTGTGCGTGAGTCTGTGGGTCTCTGTGACTCTGAGTCTCTACTGTGTGAGTCCATGGATATCTGTGCGAGTCTGTGGGTCTGTGCGTGAGTCTGTGGGTCTCTGGGACTCTGGGTCTCTACTATGTGAGTCCATGGATATCTGTGCGAGTCTGTGGGTCTCTGTGTGAGTCTGTGTGTCTCTGTGACTCTGGGTCTCTGCTGTGTGAGTCCCTGGATATCTGTGTGAGTCTGTGGGTCTCTGTGTGAGTCTTTGGGTCTCTGTGTGAGTCTGTGTGTCTCTGTGACTCTGGGTCTCTACTGTGTGAGTCCATGGATATCTGTGTGAGTCTGTGGGTGTCTGTGTGAGTCTGTGGGTCTCTGTGACTCTGGGTCTCTACTGTGTGAGTCCATGGATATCTGTGCGAGTCTGTGGGTCTCTGTGTGAGTCTGTGGGTCTCTGTGACTCTGGGTTTCTACTGTGTGAGTCCGTGGATATCTGTGTGAGTCTGTGGGTCTCTGTGCGAGTCTGTGGGTCTCTGTGTGAGTCTGTGGGTCTCTGTGACTCTGGGTCTCTACTGTGTGAGTCCATGGATATCTGTGTGAGTCTATGGGTCTCTGTGTGAGTCTGTGGGTGTCTGTGTGAGTCTGTGTGTCTCTGTGACTCTGGGTCTCTACTGTGTGAGTCCATGGATATCTGTGTGAGTCTGTGGGTCTCTGTGACTCTGGGTCTCTACTGTGTGAGTCCATGGATATCTGTGTGAGTCTGTGGGTCTCTGTGTGAGTCTGTGGGTCTCTGTGACTCTGGGTCTCTACTGTGTGAGTCCATGGATATCTGTGCGAGTCTGTGGGTCTCTGTGTGAGTCTGTGTGTCTCTGTGACTCTGGATCTCTACTGTGTGAGTCCATGGATATCTGTGTGAGTCTGTGGGTCTCTGTGTGAGTATGTGGGTCTCTGTGACTCTGGGTCTCTACTGTGTGAGTCCATGGATATCTGTGTGAGTCTGTGG